AAAGCGCTATTCTCCGTCACGGTCAAAAAAAAGTCATACTCAAATTTTAACAGAAATCCCTTGAAGGTCCCTGCGTAAGCAGAGCCTTCAAGAGATCTCTGTTAAAATTTGAGTGTGATTTTTTATAAATGCTACATGGGAGCCTGTGAAGCAGGTTCCCATTTATATAATATCATCTCAAATACTACATGTAAGCCCGCAAAGTAGGTTTCTATTTACATAATATATCCTGTGAAGCAGGGTATATTATATTATATATATAAAATAAACTTTAACCTTAGAGAGAGAGAGAAGAAAAAAGAGAGAATAAGAAAAAGAGAAGAAAGAAAAAAAGAGAAAAAGAAAGAGAAAAAAAAGAAGAAAGAGAAAAAGAAAAGAGAGAAAAAGAAGAAAGAAGAGAAAGAGAAAAAAAAAGTAAGAAAAAGAGAGAGAGAAAGAAAGAAAGAGAGAGAAAGAAGAAGAAAAAGAAGAAAAAGAGAAGAGAAGAAAAGAAAAGAGAAATACTCATTTGATATGCGAAAAGAAGAGTCACTCATTTGATGTGCAAAAGAAGAGTCACTCATTTGACATACAAAAAGAAGAGTTACTCATTTGATGTGTGAAAAGAAGAGTCACTCATTTGATATGCGAAAAGAAGAGTTAATTATTTGACGTGCGGAAAGAAAAGTTATTCATTTGACACACAGAAAGAAGAGTTACTTATTTGATATGTGAAAAAAAGAGTCACTCATTGACACAAGAAAGAAGAGTCACTCATTTGATGTGAGTCACTCATTTGACGTGCAGAATAAAGAGTCACTTATTTGATGTGTAGAAAGAAGAGTTAATCATTTGATGTACAGAAAAAAGGTTACTTATTTGATGAACAAAAAGAAGAGTCACTTATTTGACATGTAGAAAGAAAAATCACTCATTTGATGTGCAAAAAGAAGAGTTATTCATTTGACGTACAGAAAGAAGAGTTACTTATTTGATACATGAAAAAAAAAGTCACTTATTTGACATGCAGAAAGAAAAGTCACTCATTTGACGTACGGAAAGAAGAGTCACTCATTTGATATACGAAAAGTAGAGTTACTCATTTGATGCACAGAAAGTAGAGTCACTTATTTGACATGCGGAAAGTAGAGTCACTCATTTGATACGCTGAAAAAAGAGTTACTCATTTAACGCATAAAAAGAAGAGTCACTCATTTGACATGCAGAAAGAAGAGTTACTCATTTGATACGCAGAAAGAAGAGTCACTCATTTGATATGCAGAAAGAAGAGTTACTCATTTGAAGTACAGAAAGAAGAGTCACTCATTTGACATATGAAAAGTAGAGTTACTCATTTGATATGCAGAAAGTAGAAACACTTATTTGACGCATGAAAAGTAGAGTCACTTATTTGACGTGCGAAAAGTAGAGTTACTCATTTGACATATAAAAAAAGAGGTACTTATTTGACATGCGGAAAGTAGAGTCATTTATTTGACGCGTAGAAAGTAGAGTTACTTATTTGATATGTGAAAAGTAGATTCACTCATTTGATATGCAGAAAGAAGAGTCACTCATTTGATAAATAGAAAGAAGAATTACTTATTTGACATGTATAAAGAAGAGTCAGTCATTTGACAAACGGAAAGAAGAACACTCATTTGATACATGAAAAAGAAGAGTCATTTATTTGACTGCAGAAAAAAGAATTACTCATTTGACCTACAAAAAGAAGAGTCACTTATTTGATGTGCAGAAAGAAAAGTCACTTATTTGACCTGCAAAAAGAAAAGTTACTTATTTGATATATAATAAAAAAAGTCAGTATTTGACATGTAGAAAGAAAAATCACTTATTTGATGTATAAAAAGAAAAATCAGTCATATGATGTATAGAAAGAAAAGTTAGTTATTTGATATTTAGAAAGAAGAGTCAGTTATTTGACACGCGAAAAGAAGAGTTAGTTATTTGATATATAGAAAGAAGAGTCAATCATTTGATGTACAAAAAGAAGAGTCACTTATTTGATATACAGAAAGAAGAATCACTCATTTGATGTGTAGAAAGAAGAGTCAGTTATTTGATATATAAAAAGAAGAGTTAGTTATTTAATGTTTAGAAATAAAAGTCAGTTATTTGATGTATAAAAAAAAAGAATTAATAATTTAATGTGTAGAAAGAAAAGTCAGTTATTTGATATGTGGCAAGAAGAGTTACTTATTTGACAAGTGAAAAGAAGAGTCACTCATTTGATATGCAAAAAGAAGAGTTACTTATTCTCATTTAATATGTGAAAGAAGAGTTACTCATTTGATGTATGAAAAAAAAGTTATTTATTTGACATGTAGAAAAAAGAGTCACTTATTTGATGCATGAAAAGAATAATCTTTATTTAATATACAGAAAGAAAAGTCAGTTATTTGATATATAAAAAAAAGAGTTACTTATTTGATGTGCAAAAAGAAGAATCATTTATTTGATACACATAAAAA